GGGCACCTGTGCACGGTGAGCGAGCTGCCAGGGCCGGGGTCAGGCACAGCCCAAGTCAGAGTGGGGACGCAGTGAGGTGCTGGGGTGAGGGTGGGCTCCCACGGCCAGAGGTGGCAGCAGAGCTGGGCTCAACCCCAGGCTGATGTTGGGCTCAGGTTCAGTTTCGAGGTGCTCAGCCTGGGGACCTGGGTGCAGGAAAGAGGGGCCAGCCTGAGGCGTGTCCCCAGCAGCTGGATGAGGGGCTGAGTGCTTAGACCCTGACACTAGCAAAGACTTCAGCCACTGCCTCAGGCTGCTTGAAACAGGTGTGTGGTGGAGGTGGGGGAGGGGTGTGGCTCCTCGGCCCCCCTGGCCGGCAGGTGCTCATGGAGATAATAGCTCGAGCTGCCCAAGCCCCAGGAGCCCAGGCCTGCCCGGTGCACCTCAGGGGCCTCCTGTCACCTGTGTGGTGACCCTGCAGGGCCGTATGGTGGTAGGACCTGGGCCTGTGGTCAGTTGGCCCTGAGCTCAGCACCGCCCCAGGAGGACTCCAACACGTCCCAGGGCGCAGTGTGACCTTGGGTGACTAGAGACCCCGCCCAGACTCTGGGGATGGTAAGCCAGGGGAGTGCACTGGCAGCCGGACGGAGCAGTCAGGCAGTGGCCAAAGGGTGAGCACTCATTAGTTTTAGGAGCTGCACTCCTTCCTGGGCCCTGCGTCTCCCGAAGGCCTCAGACCCCTCTTCTGCCAGGACCCTGTGCCCACGTCCAGCCCACAGCTGCTCCCAAGGTCGCCCCGCCCCACCCCTGCGCTCGCACCTGCTGGGTTGGCAGTGGCCTCTGAGCCGGGCTGCAGCCCTTGCCCGAGTCGTGAGTGGACTGGCTCTGAGGAGACCACTGAGTGGAGGCACAGCCTGAGGTGCAGAAACAGCCCCCACGGAGGCCTGGGCTGCGCTCACTCTGCTTGGCCAGCATCTCAACTGAGCCCGAGGCCTGAGCCCGGCTGCTGCCGGCAGGTGTCCCCCTTCAGACCCCACAGCTCCCTCCGCTCGGGGAGGCTCATGCCGCTCCCCTCCCGACCCCTCCTGGCTCTCATCCTGATGCCACTCTTGCTGAGGAAGAGTGTGTGAGTGGGCCTGGCACCCCTCCCTGCTTCTCCCCAACAGGCCCAGGGGCTGCGGGGGCCAGGGGTGGCCTGGCCTGTGAATGCTCGTGGCCGGGCATGGGGAGGGGGGCGTGCGCTCGTGAGGACACCCCGAGGGAGGAGTCCTGTGTCCTGGCAGGGTCAGAAGCCAGGGCTTTGCTGAGCTGGAGCAGACGGAGCCGCCCCTCCTGCCCCTCCTAGCGCTGGGTGGACACAGTGGAGGGGGCCCCGATGCCAGACACACCAGGTACCCGTAGGTTCTGTGGAAAGCCAGAGACACGGAACACCTAGTGTGACCCTGAGGCCAGGCACAGACCAGGAAAGCCGCACCTCTGTCCTCGCCAGCCGGCCCAGCCTAACCTGCCCACTGCGGCCGCCACCCAGCTCCTCGAGGCACCTGCGTGGAGCCCCCAAAAGTGGAGACTCTGTAGGCAGCAGGTTCTGCCTCGAAGCCCCAGGGGCTGCCCGTGCCCCATGCAGCCTGCTGCCCCGAGAGGAGCCCGGGGCCCAGGCTGGATGGCGGGCGGTGGGTGGGAACAGGCTTCCTTCTGGGAGTGTCAGCACTCAGCTCTGATCAGCCACACTGTTTACTTGTCACCGCCTGGTCCCCAGAAAAGCCGCCCTGAGCAGGCCCAGCAGGCTCCGGACAGCCAGTGGACTGTGAAGGAGAAAGGCCCGCAGCTGCCACGCCCACATCCTGGGGCCCCAGGCTGGAGACCACAGAGCCCTGGGCAGCAACAACAGGTCTGGGCGTTGGCATGGCACCCAACGGCCATGCACTCAGACCCAGCTCTGGGGGAGCAGCGGTCCCCAAACTGGCCCTGCGACAGGCCAGGCCCGGAAGCTACCAGGCAGCAGAGGCCGGAGAAGGTCAGGGGCCCAAGGGTCCACACAGAGCTCTTGGAGGTTGAGCCAGGCTCAGGTCACATCTGGGGAAATGACAGGCTGATGACCGAGCACCTGGTCACCTTAGACCTGCTGCTCAAAAGCACACACCACCTCTCTGACACCCAGGAGCTCACATGCACACACACGTGCACACACACTCACACCAGCATCTCCGGAGAGAGGCAAGCAGGGCGGGCTAGGGGGACTGCCAGCAGGCTTGGTGTGGGGTCTCGTCAGGGGGTGTCCCCCAGCCTCTGCCTCCAGCAGCGCCTCCCCAGGGAGGCTGGCTGGCTCCTCCCTGCTGGTCGGGCCCCCAGAGGACTCAGGGCCACACCGAGGTGGCAGGTGCCAGGGTGGGAGGAGGCGACACACAGCCAGCGTTTGGGGAAGCTGTGGAGGCTGGGGAAGCATCAGTGAGGAAGAGTGAGCACCGAGGACAAGCGGGGGCCACAGAGCAGGGCTCTACATCAGAGGCAGCGACACGTAGGGCCCGAGAGCACAGCTGGCCGCACCCCCTCAGCTAAGAATAAGGACTGAGATGCAGTTGCCCAGAGAAACCTGAGCCCACAGCTTGCCAGGGGCGCAGAGCTATTGTCCACTCAGGACAGACTCATGGACATGTCCACAGAGAGGCCAGCAGGAAGCCACCTCCCAGGCCTGCTCCCAGCACGTTCCCCAGGTGACTGGTGGCCTGGGCTACTGTCCTCAGTCCAAGAGGAAGTGCTGCCACCTGGCTCAGCCACAGGACCCAGAGCAGAGCCCTGCCCTGGGCGTTGCCCCGAGCCAGGCATGCCCAGGCAGAGACACAGCCTTGGATCCCAGCACCTGGGGAAGGGGCCAATGGACAGACACCCCTGCCCTGGGGACCAACTCCATCATGGGCCCAGAACAGTGCCGAGGATCATTGCTTTGGGGGCATGGCTGAGGGTCTCCTTCCACCTGCTGCCTCAGCCTCTAACTCTCAATTGACAGAAATCTTCTGGAAAGACGGGATGCCTGGAGGTCCATGCCCTTTGCTGGAGGAGTTATCTAGAGGGGTCGGTGCTGGGCCCATTGTCGGAAGTGGACCTGCCAGGTGAAACCAGAAACTGAACCCTCAGGCCAATTTGGGGTCTGGGACAGTATTTATCCCCATTTTACAGATGGGAAAACTGAGGCAGAGTTTTTTAGATGACAATCTAGGTCCACCCACTGTGGGACCTGAGCCCAAAGGCAGGGCAGGGCAGTGGGGAAGGCTGGCAGGCAACCCCCTCTCAGGGTCAGACTGGCTTTGCCCCTGAGGAGTCCCCAAGCTCTCAGAGGGAGCCCCATGGAATTCCCCTCCCCAGGGGACCATGACAAAGCAAGGGCAGTTAGTCTGCACCCAGCCACATATGTGGAAGGTGGGAAGGCCAAGCCACCCTCCTGGCCTGCCTGTGCCCCACTCCATTCACCGCCCTGCTGGCGTTGCCTCCCCCCGCCCTCCCCCCCAGGTACTCACCAGGTGGGAGATTCCAGGACAGCCGTAAATGGAGCCCCAAAAACCCAGATGGCAACCCTTCAGGTACTCCAGAGGTAGGCCAGGAGCTGTGCCGGAGGCTGGGAGGGAGGCCCGCCCTGACGTTGCCAGAGAAACCCAGGCGTCTCTCCACTGGGGCTCCTCCTCCAGGCCTGAAACCAGTGCCTGGGCCTCACCTGGGCAGAGGGGGAGGTGCACCTGAAGCATCCGTCCCCACCTGGGCCCAGGGCAGGATTTGGCAGCACAAGTGAGGGCCACTGGGCTCTGGCCACACTGCTCTCCGAGAGGCCTGGACTGCCTGGCCAGGCTCGCGTCTGTGGGGCCAGGCTTGGCTCCATGGTAGTAGGATCAGTCCTTCGGGACTGGCTTCGACTCTTCAGGGCTCAGCCCGGCTCTCCCCTAGGACCTGAGGTTTGATGCTGAGGCTCCGAGGCAAGGCTGGCCTGGAGGCTGACCTCAGTGTTTAGTGATGTCATGCTGAACACCGACACATCGCCGCTCTGTTCCTGTGTCGGCTGTGGTCACTTACAATGAGTCTGAAGGGTCTGAGCACTAGACTTGCCTGCAGGGAACCCACACTCATTCCAACTCAAACCCCTCCCCTCTTCCTTCTGGCTTCCATCAGGGGCCTGTCCAGGGAGCAGCAGCTGCTGGGGACTGGTTTCATGTCTGTGTCCTCCAACTTTTCACAGCATCATCAGAACACAGGTGCAGACGTTCAGCAGTGCTCCTGTGATCGGGAGCAGAGGCCCTTCATCAGACGGCGTTATTCCGGGCAAACTTCAGCAGGTTCAGATCCCTTGAGAGAGTCCAGAGTCCATTCAACTCAAATGGGCCCTGGCCACAGGGCAGCCTCGGTCTCCCCAAGATGGCCTTACAGGGCAGGGCCCTTCAGTGAGCACCCTGCTGGAAGGACAGGTGGTGCTCGTGGGCACCGGCCGGGCAGTTCTGCAAAATCAGTCCAGGTTCTCAATTTGAAATGGCAAAGGATGGGCTTTCTCAGGGGAGGAGCGAGATGTGGGAGACAAA